CTTTAGAACTCCCTGAGGCCAATTTAAACTTTACTAAACTCCATGTTTTCTGAGAAAGAAAAAAGACTTTCGTGCGCAAGCGGTGCTTCTCAAAATGGTTGGCAAGCCCCTAAGAATAAATACATACAAATATACATAGGAAAATGCTATTCTTCCATAACTTTAATACCAAATCATTTGCCAGAATGATTTATCAGTGGCAGTTTTGATATTAAGAAGCATCTTCTACCACATTATTTTGTATATATTTTACGTGTACAGTTTCTATTTATATATCATTTACTCAAATAGGTATGCAACAAAACACAATAATCATCACTAGCCCTCATACTGTCATGCCTTTGGTATATTATTACTCACTTGAGAAGTAGCAAGTTGCTAAGCATTCTCTGCATCACTTAAACTCAGCCGAGCATCCGCATTGACTTCATCAATGCCCTCCTCAACTATCCTCCATCTGTTGAAACAGACGTGAACATAACATATTGGAGTGAGAGGCCTTAAAATGAATGGAAACCAAAAAAAAACAAAAAAAATCAATCTCGTAGCACCTTTCAAGTACATATTTTCCTTCTTTGTATTTCTGGGCTTTGTCATGTGCTGTGACCTACACAAATTCAACACCAGCATGGAATGGTAAACATGACACAGCATTTTACAAAATAGGAGACATAATTGCAAGTCCCGGGTTTACAAAACAAGAACACACACACAAACACACATTAGCAGTGGGATAAAGAAAGCAACCCAGTGCACAAAACTCCCACTAAAGCAGGGACTACGGAGGGTAAGGTGTATGCAGCCTTACCCCATTTCTGGCAAAAATAAGTCCCCAAGAAAGAAAGTTTGCAAGTTAAAAACCTAATCAATAATAAGATTGTAAAAAATAAAGAATGCATAAAACACATGTAGCACATGAAATACACTGCATGGCAGTTACTAAGTTTGAAGCAGTTAGATCTAAAAGAGGTATTTTAGGTATAAGAAAAATCGAGACAAAACTTCGAAGATCTATGTGCTTTGTATAACAGTATAGATTATGGCTACTAGGAGGTGTACTAGGAAGCAACTTTCAATAGAGTGATTATGGATGGATACACTATCATCCAAGAGATAAAGGAGCATACCAATAGCGATAAGTCAAGCATTTTGTTCACAGCTCACTTCCTTGCTAGAAATAAACAAAATAGGACTAAGTACAAGTTCAAAGGTATAAGAGAACTTCACTTTTCTTAAACTGTGTTTGGATCATAGATTTGGGTAGGGATTTGGAAAAGAAAAAGAAAAAGGAAAAGAAAAAGGTGGGTGAAATGTAAATGAAATATATATTTCACCTACTTTTTTCCTAATATTTCACACATTTCACTTTCCTTTCCAAACCCCTAATCAAATCCATGATCCAAACACAGTTTTATGTGCGCTTGTTTCCCTATAGGACAATTTTTAAGAGAATCATCATGAAATGATTTTTTTTTTTAAGGCTCCATTTCTTTTTCTTTTTTTGATCTAGGCTCGATTTCTGTTCAGAGATCTGAAAAAACGAATAAAAAAAAAAAAAAAAAACCCTCCATGCCTCTTTAATCTCTTTGAGAACATATGATCTTGCTATGCACAAATTTCTCTACCGATGAACTTCTAGTAAAAAAATTCCATTGAGACAAACTCCACGCAAATTCTTCAAGAAAAGAATTTTATTTATATATCCCCTTGTCTCTATCTTCAATACCAGACCCAGTTTGCAAATACACCAATTTCCTTGGCTTCAACATACACTATAAACTAGGAAGCACGGATACAGATACGGGATACGGATATGATACGATACGGATACGGCGATACGACAAAAATTTGAAAAACTAGGATACGGGTATAGCGGGGATACATTCGTAAAAAATATTATTTTAACAATTTTTAGTAATGCAGTATGCATAAAAATAAAACCTAAAGCAAAAGACAACTTGATAAAGAAGAAAGATTCCTATAAAACTAAGAGTCTTTAAGGTCAATAGCTTCAACTTGTTCCCCTTCATCAGTGAATATCACAATACCATAGCCAAAGCCAAAAACCCATTCTTAAATAAAAATTTTAGCAAATATACTTTTTTAAGTCATCAATGATAGCCTAGGAAGCACGGATACGGATATGGTGATATGGGGATGTGGATATGGCGATATGTCAAAACTTGAAAAAGTATGATACGGGCACAGCGGGGATACATTCGTAAAAAAAAAATTATAATTTATAATTTCAAACATTCATAAAACATCTAAAACTAAAAGCAAAAGCAAATGCAAATTAAACATCATCCTTACATGCCAACATCAAAAAAAGAATGAGAGCAGAGAGAAGAAACGCGAGAGAGTGAGAAAGCGAGAGAGAAGTGAGAGAGACAACAAGGATACATCAATTTGACAAATTCTATTACTTTAACTCTCACTATATTCCTTTTATCAAAGAACTAAACAAAATATTATAAGTAATATGTAACTTCGAGTATCCGATACTTCAAAATTAAGTATCCGATACTTCAAAATTAATAAAAAATTAATTAAGAAGTATCCGATACTTTTAAGAAGTATCCGATACGTATCCGCGAGTATCCGTGGAGTATCGGTATCCGATAAGTATCCGATACGGATACGTCACCCTTTTTGAAGTATTCGTGCTTCATAGACTATAAAGCAATCGGTTCAAAGAAAAAATATATATATATATACAGTAGAAAGCAGTGAAATTTGTGATCCTGCACAAACACGCAAAAACTCAAAAGACACAAGCTATAATTGTTTCATCCAAGCTTTACTTCAGGTTGCTCCAAAGACACCTGATGTAGCACCAAAATAGATAATTGAACATTTTGTAATTTTTTTTATTCGGTTCACAAATATGTAAAACCGAGATGACCGGTTCGGTGCAAAACTCGCGAAATAACCGACCGAACCGATTTCACCCCTACTTGCTAGAAATAAACAAAATAGGACTAAGTAAAAGTTCAAAGGTATAAGAGAACTTCACTTTTCTTAAACTGTGTTTGGATCATGGATTTGGGTAGGGATTTGGAAAAGGAAAAGGAAAAGGAAAAGGAAAAGGAAAAGGTGAGTGAAATGTAAATGAAATATATATTTCACCTACTTTTTTCCTAATATTTCACACATTTCACTTTCCTTTCCAAACCCCTAATCAAATCCATGATCCAAACACAGTTTTATGTGCGCTTGTTTCCCTATAAGACAATTTTTAAGAGAATCATCATGAAATGATTTTTTTTTTAAGGCTCCATTTCTTTTTCTTTTTTTGATCTAGGCTCGATTTCTGTTCAGAGATGTGAAAAAAAAAAAAAAAAAAAAAAAAACCTCCATGCCTCTTTAATCTCTTTGAGAACATATGATCTTGCTACGCACAAATTTCTCTACCGATGAACTTCTAGTAAAAAAATTCCATTGAAACAAACTCCACGCAAATTCTTCAAGAAAAGAATTTTATTTATATATCCCCTTGTCTCTATCTTCAATACCAGACCCAGTTTGCAAATACACCAATTTCCTTGGCTTCAACATACACTATAAACTAGGAAGCACGGATACAGATATGGGATACGAATACGATACGATACGGATACGGCAATACGACAAAATTTGAAAAACTAGGATACGGGTATAGCGGGGATACGTTCGTAAAAAATATTATTTTAACAATTTTTAGTAATGCAGTATGCATAAAAATAAAACCTAAAGCAAAAGACAACTTAATAAAGAAGAAAGATTCCTATAAAACTAAAAGTCTTTAAGGTCAATAGCTTCAACTTGTTCCCCTTCATCAGTGAATATCACAAGACCTTAGCCAAAGCCAAAGCTAAAGCCAAAGCCAAAAAACCATTCTTAAATAAAAATTTTAGCAAATATACTTTTTTAAGTCATCAATGATAGCCTAGGAAGCACGGATATGGATATGGTGATATGGGGATGTAGATATGGCGGTATGTCAAAACTTGAAAAAGTACGATACGGGCACAGCGGGGATACATTCGTAAAAAAAAAATTATAATTTATAATTTCAAACATTCATAAAACATCCAAAACTAAAAGCAAAAGCAAATGCAAATTAAACATCATCCTTACATGCCAACATCAAAAAAAGAATGAGAGCAGAGAGAAGAAACGCGAGAGAGTGAGAAAGCGAGAGAGAAGTGAGAGAGACAACAATGATACATCAATTTGACAAATTCTATTTACTTTAACTCTCACTATATTCCTTTTATCAAAAAACTAAACAAAATATTATAAGTAATATGTAACTTCGAGTATCCGATACTTCAAAATTAAGTATACGATACTTTTAAGAAGTATCCGATACGTATCCCCGAGTATCCGAGGAGTATCGGTATCCGATAAGTATCCGATACGGATACGTCACCCTTTTTGAAGTATCCGTGCTTCATAGACTATAAAGCAATCTGTTCAAAGAAAAAATATATATATATATACAGTAGAAAGCAGTGAAATTTGTGATCCTGCACAAACACGCAAAAACCCAAAAGACACAAGCTATAATTGTTTCATCCAAGCTTTACTTCAGGTTGCTCCAAAGACACCTGATGTAGCACCAAAATAGATAATTGAACATTTTGTAATTTTTTTTATTCATTTATGTATTTCAGACTTCTCATTTAATTAGGATTTCTTAGTATTTGTTTACTTATGGGATTTTATTAGTTTAGTTATCCTATATATTAGCCTATGGTTTTGGATATTAATTATTGAAATATTGATTTGGAATTATGATTCCCCCAGTTTCTTCCCTCTTCTTCTGTTCTTTTGGTGCTTGCATCAACACCTTTTCCAAAAATGCTGTAGTAAATAGATTGAGGAACAGGAGGGAGCATACATATTTCCAGCCAAGAATTTGTCCACAGCAGCAGCAAAATATATCTGACACGGTATGAGTTCCAGTAAACATTATCCTTTCCTCTACAGGTCCAACTGTTATATTCACACTGAACAAAAATGCCACAAGACATGTGAGTAAAGTCTGATATACAAAAATCAAATATAATGTGATACAGATGAAAGCACAAACCAAAAATCTAATATAAGTGAAAAATCATAAAAGACTAAAAGCTTAAGTTTTACAATGGCAATCCATAGGAGTTGCAGTATAATATCTGGGGTGTCCTTTTACTGTATGTAGTAAAAGTTACGGGTAATAAAAGTATTTACACAAAACGGTATGTTTTTTCCTGAAATTAACTAGTGTTCCAAGAGGGGGAAAAATTCTCAAGGAATCCAACTCTAACCTGTGTTTTATTCACATTTCCCTCACCTTTTCCCTTTCCAAATCCCTACCCAAATCCATTATCCAAACACCAATGTGAGGGGAAAAAAAAGGATGAGAGGAGAGGAGAGGAGACATTGTTTTTGTATGACTGCATTATTGAGCTCCTGTTCTTGTTGGCCTTTGTCATTCTTCAAGAAACCTCTTTTATAAGGCTCCAACTCAAAACTTCAATTTTCTATTTGTAGAGGAAATACAACATTTAAATATGAAAGACTCATTCCATGATTGCCTAATAGATGTGAATAGAAAGAACATTCCCACTTTAATTTGGCCTATGAATCTATAATATCATTCAGTGAGCAAACAAGCCTTCGCCTCCTCCAAGAGAAAAAATACATAAGAGAAAAGAGCAAAGCAAACAAATGCAAAAGCCACCTGCATATTCCCAAAATGACATCACTTGTAAAAACAGAAAAAACAAACAAAAAAAAACAAAAAAAAAAAACAGAGAATATTAAATTGTTAACTTACACTTTATGGACAAGGTATGCTTTCCCGTGATTGCAACTGAAAGACTGATCATAATACAAAGCAATAATTAGTGTCAAAGTTGTTGAAATACGGCAAACCATGTAGACACGCAACAAATGCAAAAACAAAATACTAGAGAGTAATACTGTTAGAAAAAGAATTATATACGTACACATAATACTTTGGAAAATAAAACTTTTATGAGCTTTGTTCTTAGTGAAATATAGTGATCTATTAATTTCATAGAGACGGTAAGCATAATATAAAGAAATTGGGGACAATGGCAGGGATATTGTGACACCCATCCCACAAGGTGGGAGAAGAATGTCTAATGCCATATAAGTAAAGACTTTAGACCTTTCTAGTACAAGGTTTTTCCTAAGAAACCTTGGGGAGAACAAAGGTGTGTGCTAGCCGCGCAGATGTACATGTCTGGGTGCATGTGTTGCACATGGTGGGCAAAGCAAACTATATTATACCCTGCACGACTAGGTTGTTATAAATTTGGTGTCAGAGCTAACCATGGTCCCGTAAAGGCTGGTGTGGCAAAGGAGTAGAGGCACCAGCAAGGCAAGTATAGACTTTGGAACTTCCCATGTGGACGTACGTGTATGGGCATGTGCGTTGCTCGTGGTGGGCAAAGCACACAATATTGTACATTGCAGACCCAAGTTGTTACAGATATGGTGTAATGCTCCCTTAATTGAACCCTAGAAGTCCAGAAAAAGTATCATTTTGATCCCAAAGCGATAATAAAGAAAATAGGAATGCTTACAATCATTAATTCTTTATACTGATGTGATGATATATTTTACAATCTTAAATGTGTACGGACGGTAAAAAGACTGTTTGTCAATGGTTCACGCAATAGCTAATTTGTACATGGTTTATTGACTAAAAAATCCATTTTATGACATCTTGATTGGAAAATTTTAGTACCTTCATTAGGCTTTCACCAATGGAGTAAAAAGTTGTTTGAAGCACATTTTTAACTGGTCTAACAAAATTCTAGCATAGTAAACCCAATGCATTAGAAAAAATTTGCTTCTAAATCTAAATTGCATCTTGAGACCCTAATCAAGATCGAGTTGAATCAAACTATTCCCACTCATCAAACTTGTTATGACATAAGGGAAATTCTAAATGCAACCACCACTATTACACGATTTTTAAGATCGTCACTTCTCTGTGCATTGTCAGTAATATTTGCTTGTGAGACTTGATGGTGAGGTGAGGCAAACATTTTCCTTCCTATTTTCATCCTTAAAGTTTTCTCAACTAGCAATAACCTCACTCTTCAGAAATATCAATTGTTTCAAAATTTTGGTCCATCAGCATGCACCATCTAGTAGTACTATTATCTAATCAAATGTGACAAGTACAATATTAAGGCAATCAAATCAACTGTCATCGATACAATATTAATTTAAGACAATCAAACGCTTCATCCACAACTCAAATCCACAAGCCTGTCCCAATTAGTTGGGATGACTGCATGGATCAATTTTCTCGAATTGATTCTATTTGCAATCATGTCCTCACTTGAGTTTAAGATAGTCATGCGCTTTTTTAGCGCCTCAACCTGAGGAGGGTCCTAGGGCATTGCTACATGGTGCTCCCATTTGAATACAATTGGTTCATCCAGCGGAGTCTATACTTTCATGTTAGTGTTTTTACCCAACAACATAGGAGGTGGCATTTGATGATAGGTATCGAGCATTGCTCCAGGGACAAGCAATAATTTTCCCCTCAACCCACTTTTACTACCCTTGAGGTGGATTAAATCACTCCCTTGCAAAACTATGATGCAAGTGACACATTTGGACTGTTTGGTGGAGCTTCTAGCAAGCTGATAACTAGAATGCAAAAGCTAAAAGCACCTCTTCCTTACTTTCCATAATTAACTTTTTTCAACTTATTAAAACTATTTCTGATTGAGAAGTTATAAGTAAAAATTGCACCGAACACCGACACATTTTCAAAAGTAAAATTAAAAAAAAATAAAAAAAATCATAAAGCAAATCGATAAACTGCACCAAATAGTCTGATCATCTCAAACAACTTTCTTTAGTCTCACCTTCACAAAACCAGACTAAACAATACCCAATTCACATGTGGTAGGACAATTAGTTTTTTGGGGTCTGAAAAGGGTAAACTAAATCAGCTCACTCTTCAACACCCAGTAGGCAGCAGTTGAATATTCATCATTAATCAATTGGTTGTGGGTCTCTTGACTATTTTATCAATTGGTTTATTTTCTTTCAAGTTGTCTATCTCAAGAGATCATTTGGGTTTGATATGCCCATTTTTGAACCATTTTGGTGATCCAAACCACGTTCTAGAACTCGTTACATATAACATTCATACAAAAAGTATTAAAATGATTGGATATCAATAGTTACATATTTAAATCATATTTATTTTATAAAAATTGACGACAATTATAATTTTAAGAATAATTATCCGATTATTTTAATTTTTTTGCATGAAATATTCCAGCGAGTCCTGTGAATGATTCGGATTATCGAAATCGATCTCAAAATAGGCATAAAAAAGTCCAAACGCTCTCAATACATATGCGTATGTGTAGATACGCAAACGCTCTCCCAAAAGTTCATCAAACAAAACATACATAAGCGTATATGGATATGTAGAAATGGAAGGAGAGGAAGGGGGGAGAAGAGAACACAGACCCGAGAGAGGACATCCTCAGTGAGGGCAAGAGAGGTATGACAGTATCGGCATCTGTAAGACCTGCCTTCCACCTCCACCACAAACACCCTTCCCATAGCTGCTCTGCTCTGCTACCCAAAAGCCAAATGCCTATCCATTAGACAGACTACCTTGCTTTTAATTTGGTAAAAACCCCTCTCTCATCGAGTCAAATTGAACTAGACACGTAAATGGGTGCACAAAACCGTACAACTCAAGTTGGGTTTGACAATACTGCCTTTTTTTTTGCTAAAAAAATAGTAAAAAATGAAAAATTAGGAAAGTTAGTATTATTTTTTAGGGACAATTAAAGAAGGAATATTTTACTAATAAATCTCATACATAAAGTTTAAAATTTATTTAATCTCAAAATAAAATATTTATACCAATTAATCTTACATATTTTTAATTATTACCAAAAAGTCTTTTTTATTATTTTTATCACTTTGAAAATGCTGTTTAAAAATGTTGTTACATCCAACGACTTCTGTCAAACTTATCGAAGACTCGTCGAAATATTCAACATCACCGAAAAGTCGTCGAAGCATTACCGAAAGTTCGCCGGAGTGTTTTGAGTATCGCCAGAAGTTCGTTGGAGTATTCTGAACGTCATTAGAAAATGTCAAGAATATCATCGGAGACTCACCGGAATATTTAGAACATTGTCCGAAAAAAAAAACAAATAAATAGAGAAATTATAGTTAAACAACATAACAAAAACAAACTAATCAAATTGAAAAGTAAGTTTTGAAATTGTAAAATGTTACAGTTTCAAAGCATTATTCTATTAAGTTGGAAAACATGTTATGAAACTGCAAAAATTTTATAGTTCTAAAAAATGTTATGAAACTGCAAAATTTTGTAGTTTTAAAGCATGATTCATTTCAACACCCAAAACAATCTGAAACTGTAAAATTTTACAGTTTTCACCGTCTATAACTAAAACTTAAAAACAACTTATTCAGAATTTGAAATTTTTCTTCATTAAAACAGAAAAATACGTGTATATAACAGAGAAAAGGTAGAAAAATTGAGAAATCAAAGGAAAGAATAGATATAGAAAGAATATTGTACTCCGACAACTATTTTTGGTTTAGATCTAGTCGGATCTCATGTAGATCTACTCGGATCTGATCTAGAATTAAGTAGATCTACATTAGATTTGAGTAGATCTACTCATCTTTTTCGCCGTTAGTGAGGATAAAGTAATGAGTTGATGTCAATGGTTGGTGGTTGCCGGTGAACCCCAATCAATGGTTGTTGTTGGTCATCGGTGACTATATATTAAAAAGATAAAGAGAATAAGGAAGGTATAATCACCGGTCGTCGAACATGACAAAGAGAATGAGAGGAAAATGCAGAAAAAAAAAAAGAGAGGAAAGCGTAAAGTATAAGAAAAAAACGCAGACAAAGATATGGGAAAAGTATAGGACTTTTGAGTGTATTCAAAAAGTTGTTGTATTAAATAGTGTACACATATTTCACCTACGGGTAATTTTTTCATAAAAAAAAATAATAATTCATTTGAGAACATGTTATTTTAGTGATTTTTTTACTTTTTATGAAAATGTGTAGAGAAATAGAGAATAATGTGACGATTTATAGTAATTTTTTTTTTTTTGTACTTTTTGGCTAAAACCCAAGATTGCAAAAAGAGACCTAAATCTTGATTTTTTTGGCTCAATTTGGTTTAGCCTCCGTTTGGCAATGACTTTTTTAGTTGATTTTTTTGGCTTTTTTTGACTTTTTTGCTCGTTTAGTATTCTTGATTGGATTTTTTAGCTTTTTAGCTTTGGAATGGAGGATTTTTTTTTTTTTTTTTTTTTTTTTTTGTCCTTTTGTGATTTTTGGCTTTTTGTGATTTTTAAACTTTTTTTTGTCCTTTTTGTGATTTTTAGCCCAACTCAAAAACCAAACAACCCCTTAGTTTTGGAATTATGATTTGAATATGAAGCTGTGAGTATGAAATTGTGAGTTGAGTTTTGAAAAAAGAAAATTTATTTGATTATGAATTTTGAAAAGAGTTTTAAAAAGAGTTTTTGAATTTTGAGATGAGTTTTGAGTTTTGAAAAGAGTTTTAAATTATATTTTGAGTTTTGAATTTTAAATTTTAAATTTATTTGAAATTTTTTGAATCTATTTTTTCAAAGAATAATGCTATCTATACTAATTAGTGTACTAACTAGTGTACCAATTGATGATGCGACATAATTTAAGAAATTTTTAGTATTTATAATTTATATAATAAATGAAGTCAATAATAATATTATAATTAATATTAATATGTTAATTAATATATATAACACTATCATTTTTTAAAATATTAAAAAATGAGTTGATTACTTTTGTTTGTTGGTGGGTTGCACGCTAACAGCTCCCGCTACAGCTATTTCCAACTTGTGTTGGTTCCCTTTAGTTTGTTAGTGAATCGGCGTGATGCTCCTGGCCTGGTGTCAAACATGAGCTGGTCGCCTTTTGTTTCTAGGGCAGTGATCACTTAGGGTGACACCCCGAATAATGTTAAAGGCTCTAAATATTTTATCAAAGATCCACACAATATGAGTCTCATGTGAGTCTCACACCCATGTGAGACATTTGATAAAATTTTTGATAGAATTTTTAGAGCCTCTAAGTATTTTTGCACCCCCAAACAAAAAAAATGAACCAATGGGTGGTGGGGGTCAGCCACTGAGGTCTCACTCTTTTCCCTTGTTTCTATGAGTTGGTTCCCTTTTGTTTGTTAGTGAATCCTCGAGATACTTTGTATTTTTTTTTATATGTAATTCCCCATTAAAATAAAATAAAATAATATTTTTTTGAATTTTTCTTAAAATAAAGTTTTGAAAGAGTTTGGTTTTAAGTTTTGAATTGAGTTTTGAATTGTGTGTTTGGTTATGAGTTTTGAAAACAATTTTTGAATTAAGTTTTGAAAATAATTTTTTAATTGAGTTATCTGTTTGGCTATGAGTTTTGAAATTTTTTTATTGGAATCATAATTCCAAAAGAAAACCAAACGCAAGCTTTATTTTGTCAATTTAAATTCTAATATTTTAATTTAAATTATTTATCTATTTTCGTTAAGTAAAATTAATAAAAAGAATATTTTAGTTATGAGTAATGCTATTAGCATCCCAATTAATATTTTGCAGCTCTCATATCTTTGGACCCCACCTAAAAAATTCAAAACCGTAAAAAATTTCAAGAACCCCCAAATAATACTAAAATTATTCTTCTAAAAACATTCCTAACTAAAATGCACACCCTCTAAAAACCCTTCATCTCTCAAAACTCTTAATAGTTGAACTCACTAATCATCCTCTCATTGTCGAGAGAGCTGCACTATCAAGAGAATTGTGTCGTTGATCTCTCCGTCGTCAATCTCTCTGCCGTCATGTTCGGACCTTTCTTGCCGAACAAATTACCTATTTTTGCACCTATGTTACCAAAAAATTTGTACATGATCAGATTAGTGCTACCGAACAATTTATACATGATCGGACCTGTGTTGCCCAACATTATAAAAGCATAAAGTTATGTGTCTATGGATAAGTTTGACCCATCAAAGTTTAACAAACAAAGATCAATATGCATCAACCAATTGGATTAAAAAATAAAACTAAAATTCATTGCATAAGCAACATATAAGTATGCATTAAGGTTACAACCAAAGTATCGAACATAGGAATAAAAAAGTTTGGATCCAAAGTGATAGAACATATGAATAATGTTCAGTTAGACGTTGCCGAACTAATGCCTTTAATTCAGTCTTGTGTTACCATTCTTTTTTGCATATGTTTGGGAGTTCAATACCAAAAAAAAGTCGAATGTTTTGACCATTTTATTTTATTTTAAAAAAATTATCATTGCAAGGTTAACATCTTTCAAGTTGCTAATATCACCTAAGCTATTGTGGGAACATATTTTGTGAGTGACAGCACGTGGCCAAGGTGATGCCGAAGTGTCAGTCAAGATGCTACGTGGTCTGGTCATGCGCCGAGATGATCTTGGCTAGATCGAGGTTATCTGCGGAAATACTAAAATCCAAGATGAGCGGATAAGGGACAAGAGTCCTAGAGTAGGAGAGGATCTCAGTCTGGATAAAGATAAAGATAAAACTCTTAGAGAGTTTATCCCTATCTAGCTGAGAGTCCAGGATGAGCATTGAGCTTGAGTCCACTAAAGTGAGGCTTCTACAGGGATCAGGTCAGTGTTATCTATAAAAGAAGGATACCCCCGTGGGTCTCAGGTATGTGGAATATACTGCAAGCAGTAAGTTCTTTCTTGTGAGTTAAGCACAATGTGCTATCTTTAAGAGATATTGGATTACTGACTTGATCATCAGAGTGCCCCTAGGTGGACGAACCACCACCGAATTCTTATCTTTCTATGACAAGTTGTTCAGACTTAATCTATTTTGCCGGTGCTCTCTAGCTGAGTTCCCCGTTTGGTTGTGTAGTCAGAAATCAATACCCACAATTTGGCGCCGTCTATAGGAATGCAAGGAGAATAGATGACCAACGACGGGCAGAAAGAAAAGATCGAGGATGACGTCCCATGTGGGAGTGGTAAACGTGCCGACCCTAACATCGAGGAAGAAAACCATAACAGAGGAGCATGGGGTCAAAAACCCAAGGATAAGGACGTCGGCAAAGATGGAGACGCCCCGAAGAAATCAGGCCGATATGAGTATTACAACGAAAATGACCTCCAAGTATGGAAAGATAGATGCTTGAGGAGGGATGACAAGATAAAGGGAATGGCCAACAAGTTGGCAGATCTACAATCGGTTATCAACTTCATGATGCAGAACAACGTCATGCAACCATCATTCTCGTTGCAGGACACGCCGATGCCAGGGGCCAAGAATGATGCTCAGAAAGGGGGGCAGAAAACAATCCCAGCGATCCCGTAACATGGCAAGGAAAATGAGCCCTCACATCGGCATTCACGGGATGTCGGGCAAGGAGAGTCGATCAGGGGTGACTCATAGAGAACACCTCGTACCAAGGGAACGTATGTCAAAGAACCCCGAAATATCTAGGGGAAGGGCCTGTGTTTTGACATGGTGAATGAAAAGAAGTCCAAGAGGACACATAACGGCACCGGGAGTAGCGTACCAAAAAGAATGAAATCTGTTGACAGCCGAGCTCTTGGTCAGACTAAGGAGGATTTGAGGGACTACCTCCAGAGAAAGCGGCAGA